GCTCCAGGGGAGAAAAGAAACTATCGCGCTTCTGTATCTTTCTTTTTATACCTCTCCGTTAAATCGCCGCACAGTTCCCCAACATATTTTTGCCCAAGACAAACCTGTGAAAAGAAAAGATGTGTCAGCGCAACTTGATCCATGACGACCGAATTATAACACCATAATCGTATATACGAGATGTCTGTTTTACAAGACACTGTTTCATGCAAATCTATACATGATTTGTGTCTAATTAATTATTATAAACGTCCTAGCAATTTATATTTTATAATGCATTATGTAATTAGAACATTGTAGTGAATCATGAAATGAAACGTATGTGTAAAACATTCTAGCATCGTCCTCATATTCTTTCAAGATACGGACTTTAAATTGGTACCGAGATTCCGAAGCTTAGTCCAGATATACGAAGGAGTGATAAATCAGAGATTTATCGCTTAATCGTTCGCAAGGTTATCTCTGTTAAAAGCCATGTGTTGAACCTGCTCATGTGAGATAGCAAGGTATGATTTTTATATTTAGTAATACGTTTTGTTGTATATATTCCTATATATGCATAAAGAAATTATTTTTCTAAGAAACACAGACACAAATTTTTTCTTTATTGTATATTATCCAATTTATGCTCTAAGAGTTGGCCATAAACTGTAATTTTTTATTTGAAGAAGAACCGATTAAACCTGATTGTATATTGTATTGATGACGGAAAATTTCGAGCTCGCGAAAAATCCTATAAGAAGAAAAGTATCGCTAATCACGTAATCACGTGAATACGAGGTAACGGGGCAATTCTATTTTCAATCATCACCAGAAACGCATAGAATTACCTCTGTAAAATAGATATCGCACGAGAATATGCAACGCTAATACCAGACCAGGCGCACCACGTTTATCCGGACGCTTCGTTTAGTCGTCGGTAAAGACTCGCCGTGGATTCGTAGAAGCCGCGCGGCGCATTCGCGCGCATTTATACGTGCGTGCAACTTAGAGAGCGGCATTAAGTAATTATCATAAGCGTCGGCTTAAGTACGGTACGGACAGGCTGTCCATCACGCGAGTCCACGTCCTCGCTCTCGGCGATCATACATAGTAACGACTCACTCGTCCGTGACTTACAGGCGAGAACGATTATTTCTGCTTACGCTCGCGCGCGGAGGCGTGAAGAAATAACGCAGACAGACATATCGGCAAGAACATGATCATGCGAGTTATTCGCGGCGATTAGGGCTGCATTAGACTCTAGGTGCGAAAGTAGAAATTTTATTTATATCGACTAATTCTTTTTCAATATTTTCACGCGCGATAAAAGCGCTTTTCTTTTCGTCCTGCGTTTCGCGAGAGAAAGAATCGCTCGCAGAAATATACGGAAATAATTACGGGAAATCGTGTATTAAAAATAAATTTGAGAAGAATTGGAGAAACACGTCGATAATTAGTCGAAAGATAAAGGGGCGATATGCAATAGTGCATTTTCGAGCTTCGGGCGAAACGTGCAATTGCATCTTCTCGCCGATGCAGCTGAACATTCCGAGCGTAATTACCTCGGATTTTGCTGGCTAACGATAAACCGCCTCGCCTTCTCCTCGGTAAATAATGACGCTTCTTTCCTCGTTACCGCTGAAACATTGAGAAGCGGATTAGCATCGTGTCTGTCTTCAGATTGAAAAGAAACATGTGTCTTTGAAGTGAAAATTTTCTCTTTAATAAATCATTTCCAACATCATCGTATCGCGTGGTAGAAAGTATATTGCGAAAAAGCAAACGAATTATATAATCTTTTATTATAATAATATACAATAAAAGTTAGAATTTTGCTTCTCTTTTGTTAGAACAAATTTTAGAAAATATATATTTAATAAAACATAAATAATTAATAAATAATTTTATTTATTAGTTTCTTATTATTCTTAGGTATATTTCTTATATAATATTTCTTTTTTTTTTTACTTCTGATTGTTTTTTTATTTTCTTCAACATCTTGCAGAAATACATGTAATCGATGTGAATTTTATTTTTTAATCTTTGTATAAAAAAATAAAGCTGACGTTATAGAACATTAAAATACTCCTCGCATAATTACGTTTTAAACCTCAGCGCGTATTGATGATAAAACAACTGGGAATGTATTCAGGCTTTTTCCTTCTGTTAACGAACAATTTGTCAAATATATGTAACTCCGTGTCAATCAAAATTAACTCAATTAAAATTGACACGCACATGCTTATTTCAACTCTATCAATCTCGCCTCGTTACTTTATTGCCTTGCTGTATCACGCAATTCACTCATAGACGTAGATTGCTCCTATCATATCTTCACTGGTGAGAAAAATAGAATTATTTAATAAAAAGCTCTTTTTGTGCGCTTTTCACTTTTGACAAAAGAAAAAGGGAAAAATGCGAAGCCTATTAAATCACTATCTCTTTTGCTGATATGCAAGCCGTTTATGCTTCCTACGTTCATAAGAATTGGATCCACTATCAAATTACCAAATTATATGTTATTTCGTGAAAGGACAGGCATATAAATATTATTCTATATTTGTCTCTTGTATATTTAACTCGGCATCGCTTTGTTCTTTAAATTAATAGGTGCGAAAGCGATACCGACCGACTCCGGTCGCTTTCTTTCGCTTATCGCACCTGGAGATAAATGGATTTGTTGACGCAGATTGACGTGCAAACGTTTAATCATGCTTAACATTTGTTGCGCGTCCGTCAACATTTACGTAGCAGCGGTGATAACGATAATTTTCGTGAAAAATTCGTAAAGCTAATATTTTATATATTATATTATATACGATGATTTAATCAATTTTAATGATTAAATCAATGTTTCCCCGACTCTCATCCAAAGATTCGACCGGTCGTGCAACTCGTGTTTTAACTCGCTGCTGAAAGGATATTATTTATCATGAAAGAAAACAATCTTTTTATATTATTGCTTTTATATTTATATATATAATTTGATAGTTTGGTAGTGGAGCGAACTCTTGCATATCAGCAAAAAGATAATAGTGACTTAATAGACTTGGCACTTTTCCTTTATTCTTTTGTCAAAAGTGGAAAGCAGAAAACCAATGTCTTTTAGGAGAATAAAATTCCTGTAACTATCAATACCGAAAAAATGTGTGGTTTTTCGAACTAAATTGAACTAAATTGTTGAATCGAAGCATCAGCGGATTGTTACGAAATTAGAGTCATGATAAACCATGATTAAATAAATGTTTCCCCAACTCTCATCCAAAGATTCGACCGGTCGTGCAACTCGTGTTTTAACTCGCTGCTGAAAGGATATTATTTATCATGAAAGAAAACAATATTTTTATATTATTATACTTTTATATTTATATAATTTGATAGTTTGGTAGTGGAGCGAACTCTTGCATATCAGCAAAAAAGATAGTGATTTAACAGACTTGGCACTTTTCCCTTATTCTTTTATCAAAAGTGGAATAAAATTCCTGTAACTATCAATACCGAAAAAATGTGTGGTTTTTCGAACTAAATTGAACTAAATTGTTGAATCGAAGCATCAGCGGATTGTTACGAAATTAGAGTCATGATGATTCCATAACAAAGCTCCGATAAACAATAAGAGAAATTTGCGACGCGGACGACATCACGCAGAATCCTTCGGGATTCAAGGCGGGGGAGGCAGGTAGTTCCATAGCTACGCTGTCCCGCATTCCGCGATGCGTTCCCACACACACGCTGTACACCTCCACCTCTCGATTCACGCATTCCCGAGGAAAGAGACTCGACCAGTCGCAGGCGCAACGCGCGAGAAGAGGAAGAAACTACCGGGTCCGTAGAGTGAGGGAAGAGCTGAATGAAAAAAAAAGAGGAAAAAAAGGTAGAGGAACCGCACGGTGGACAAAGAGGGTAGAAGGGAGACAAAACGGACGACGAAGGAGTAGGGAACACCACGACACAGACTCCTTGTGCGAGAAACACAGGGGTTCTTAGTGGGGGCTCGAACGGGCGTAGTCTTGGTAAAACCCGCCTACTATTTCCCCTTGAGAACCACGTGCTCGTCTGTCAGACAACGCAAGAACTCTCTGTCAGAGACTGCCAGGCCTCGTTTCGCGAGAACGTGAGAATGAGAGAGCGATGATGAAACAGGCGCAGCTCTTATGTCATTGATGATTCCGATCGTCGTCCAACTGAAATTGCGTATAAATTTTCAATTTCACATCAACATATAAATTGTTCGCGATGGAAACGCAGGATAATTTGCATATCTATACAATTTATAACATCAAACTCCCGGATCATTTTCTCTCATCATTCAGGACATGAGCCACATCTTTATTCCACTCCATAAAACTGTCCCTTGATGAAGAAAGTTGATTCAACAGCTCGGAGACGGTTCTTCTTTCAGACCCCACGAAGAAGGAGTAGAAACATTGGAGCGAAATGAGAGAGCGATGACGTTGACGAGGAAAAGAAGGAAGCGGATGACACAACGGGCGGGAAGAAACTCTCGAGAACTCGGAGAAAGGGTAGAGGCAGAGAGAGAGAGGTCGAACCGACAGAGGCGGGGCGGAGATTTAATCTTGGTCTTGGGGGGGTCCAGCGGTCTCCAAGCATCAAGAGAGAAGGGAGAGCGTTCCGTTCTCTCTCTGAAGAGAGATCGGCTCTTCTGTCGAGGAGCGCATGCAGTCGCTAGCCGAGGCCTATACTTGCCCGTCGAAGGGTATTGGTTCTCCAACTCGTTGCACCATACCCCCCAAGCAGGGCGAAACGAACGGACAAACAGAGAGAGAGAGAGAGAGAGCAAAAGAGAGAGCTGAAAAGGGCAAATAAAGGACATTTCTCTCTCTCTCTCTCTCTCTTTCTTTCTCTCTCCTTACATTGTCGTACTCCGACACGCGTGCACTCACGCATGCACGCGCGCGCGCGCGCGCACCACATCGTCGCCACCGCCACCGCACGTTACCACTCTCGCAGGAGAGGACCTCCCCGTCAAGGAAGCGGAGAGTTGGCACGACCGACGCGTCGGATGAACGGAACGGAACGGAAGGAGCAGAGCGCGTAACCCCCGAGAGAGAGAGATTAAGCGAGAATCGTAGACGGATCTATATACGGTGGCGTTTCCGAGTCCACGATTCTTCCCTTACCTGAACCTTCCGGATCCAGCCGGCACGAACTGGGAGGGTTGGCAGGTATATAAAACGTACTATTTCCCGGGCCATTTTGTGATCACACGTCCGTTTCTCTCTCCCACCACTCGTTAATCGTCCCGATCGCACACGCTTTCGAAGGGTGACACCCACCCTTCGGAGAGAGAGAGAGAGCCCTTCGGGGAGGGTGAAATTTCCCTGGGCTGGGTTCACGCGGCAGTTCAGTCGACATTCGGTCAGAAGCTTAAGCGTCCTAGTGTTTGCCGGAACTAATCGACACGTTGACAAGACTCCTTAAGACACGCTCTCGGCCCGACGATACAGGCAAGAACGGACAAGATCTTCAGGTCAGTGCACACGAGTGTTTGCAGAGAGAAAGACGATAACGCCCGGTCAGCCTCGATACGGTTCGCCGAACCTTGAGTACGAAGGAGTGACGGATCGAGGCGATCTTTATCGTCCAACACCCCGGAAGGATTTAAGGACGATCTTATCGGACGATTAGCGGATTGGAAATCGCGATTCCGCGAGTGCACGCGGTTCGCCAGTTCGACGATCGAGAATTATAATGTTCGTTCAGTGATACAATTGGTGCAAGGTGCTTGCTCCGAATCGCGCGGATAAGGGGATTCTTTTTTTTTCTCTCTCTCTTTACACGTTGGATACTTCGTAGCGATTAGACCGAGAAGATGAGGACCTGGATGTTGCTGGCCGTGCTCTCGATGACGGTGCACGCGTCATTGACGGAGATCCCTAGAAACAAGAATCATCGTGGCAGAGGATCCATGTGGTGGTGAGTATCAGACTTTCGCTTTAATACGGTATATACAGTCGAAATTCCTGTCGACCTGTACCTCCGCGAACGCTCGCTTGTAAACAACCACGTCGCGTCGTAAAACTTTTTATCGCGGACACACTAAGCGTGCGAAGGTTCTCGAAATAAATTACGGTTGCACTGCGCCGGTTAATAGACTTGTTGACACAGTCATCGGTTGGACTCGAATATAATCGAAGAAGAGAAACGCGGGAATATCTCTCAAAATTATATTTTTCATCTTTTTTTGATTTTATTCGTGCGAAATGAGAAAAATATTATGCTCTTTGTATGGTAAAATGTGATTTTTTGAGGAAAATGACAGATACATTTCCAAGACGAGAGATTCTATTTTTATTCACTTAATTAAGTTTCATGGCATTCATTTTTTTCTTAGCTTTAATAGCAATTAGCTAGTTGTGATCGATTTATTTCAGAGATGTGTGTGAGAATAAACAAAATACTTGATAGAAACGCATGTGCGGAGAAGAAACTTGACAGCTGTAATATTTCGATATATCGTAAAAGGAAATTTTCTCTTATTACCGCTTTATTGGTCTGATTACCGATCTTATGAAAATCTTTTCCGGTTTTAAACGATGACTTCATAACTAACAATTTAAGAAGCGTTAATTGAGATCACGATTGCAATCGCTGAATCATCGAAAATAAAAATCGCGCCAGCAGAATTTGTTCCACGTGGATCTGCCCTTGATCTTTGACGAGTTTATTCTGAAGATCAAAAACTCTGTCGCTTCTTTTGCTCCTCATCGATGCATATTTCTTAATTGCTTATCCTCTTGTCAAGAAAAACTCGAGAATGTTTTTTTTTTAATTTTAAAAGATCGATTTTTTTCAATTTTAAATACCACATTAATAAACAATAATATAACTCTCAATGAATATTACCATCAGCTAAGAAAATAAAAATTTATAAGACACTCAGCTTGAAAAAACTCTTTCAAAATGTCAATGGTCAGAAAATGTTGTGTCTTCCATATATTGCGACATAAAAAATTTTTCTGAAAACACATCCAAGATGCTTGAATATATATTAATTTCCATCTTATATTCTCATTATTTTTTCTGCGTTCAACGTAACACATGTCACAGAGTAATTACACTTACCAGCAGCTATATACAGAAACACATCATAAATAAATGTCTCACGAAAGCAAGTCGCATCGCATTTTTATTTTTCTCTCATCCTTGGCGTCTCGCGGCGTAGTCGGTTCTTTTAATTAAAATGTTACCCACCGCTCGAATCGAATCGACGACCTACGCGCGTTAATTACTCCGCTCTCGAGCGAGGCATTAACACCTGTCTGCCCCGACATTTGTCGGGCTAATCGCGGGAGCGACGCTGTCCGCGCGCGAGAGCGCGCGCGTACGATATCGTTATTAATTCATTAATCATAATTCTAACTCCTCGCTCGTTTCGATCCGCGTTTCTTGCTCGGACGCGCGATGTGTGTTAGATAATGACTGACTTCATTAGTCCGATCGTAAATAAAACTCGCGCGCGCGATCGAGCGTTCACGCGCTCGTATATTGTCCCGCGAGATACAGCCGCGCTGCGAATATCCGCCTATAATGATAAACCGTCGGCGATAAATCAGCCGGGTGCGTCCGGTTTCTCGCGCGACGCGACGGTTCGGCAGCGACGGTTATTGCCGCTAAATTAATTAAATCTCTCGTGAATTTCTCGTGAAATTCCGCCTCGGACATATATATATATATATATATATTATGAAAAGAAATGTGTGCGTTTGTCTTCGCTGTGAATGCACTTCGCGCGAAATCTATCGCTTAATTTATGCATTTACTTTTTAATCGAAGATAAACAAGACGGAATGTTGTTAATGATTTGTAATGATTAATTGGCAAATATTTGTAAAATGTTTCAGCGATTTGAGAGATTTAAAGAGAGAGATTTTTTTTAAACACGTAGAATATCTTGCAGGTTTGTGCTTGCATTGTCTGAGCTAAAATGGAAATTCCTTGAAAAGAAGTCAGCATGATGTAAACGGTTGTTTCTTTACAAAAGCTTTGAATGAGCTATATCTTCACCATTATTACTGTACTTAATTTTATCTGAAAAGTGTCAAGTAAAATAAATTGTTTCATGCATCATGATTAGAAAATTATTCAAAGAAAAAGTCAAAGTAAAACGTTTGTAAAACATATTGAAGGACAAACAAAACTTTTCCTTGTAAGTTTTTTCTACTTAATTAGTAAAGAATAATGTATTTGGTTCAATAAATCAATAGTCTTATTTATTTTTATTTCAGCCTGATAATTGATTGAAAGGTCAGTGTGTTGAAATAAAAAAAATATTAAAAATAAATAGGCATGGATAAACAACGATAGAGATGAGTATTTAAATAATCGGTATCGGAATAGAAAGTGAACGGATTAATTGTTTGGAAAGAAAAGCGCAGAAAAGAAGAAAGAATCGTGTATCTATTGTGTATCAATTCTATTGGTATCGATTCTATCTGTATGAATTTATTGCGGATCGAAACATTCATTGTCAATCGATTGACAGATACAACCATGACGAGATCGGTCCAAGATACATTATTACATGGGTGGTCGCATCTGATATTAATAATGACAATTAATTGCGGACGCAAACAATCACTCGTGACAACACAAAAAAATTTTTGCGGATTTTATTAAGACGCTCGCGAGCGCGACGTATTATTACTTTTGCACATCATCGTTAATTGAGTCTGATTTTTATCAAGCAGCATCAATACCATCATTAAACGAAGTCATTTCTGCGTCGAATTTGTGTCATAAAAATAATTGGAGCATAATACGGTATTTTCAAAGTAAAAAATTTTCCCTGGACAATTGAAATTAAAGTTTACGAATTTTTCGTTATATAAATTATAAATGATAAATCTACGCATAAAATGATGTATGATTCTTTCAAATATTTTTTTGCATCATCGATATCAATATAATTTGAAACGTGTGCGGTTTTGCCTCAACTGATGCATTATCCATCATTGGCAAGGATAAAGTTGTTCATAGATGCTCCGTTATCATTGAACAAGATAACATGTCACACGGGCAAACGTCATCCCGCACACAAACGGGATGCTGGAAGCCTTCGCCATTAATCAATCATGTTTCGAATTTCAAATGAACATCTTTCCGAGGATCGCGATTCTAACGATCGCTATAGCGATTTTGTATCTGTCGCTTTCGTCGCGAACCGGTAATCTCAAGTGTGGTCGATTTATCAACACGAAACGATTGACACGGGGATGAGAATCAGGAGCGAGACACAGTGACAGCCTCCGTGCTTCTCTCCTACGACGAGAAGTCGGTCGACCGAATGAAAAAGACGTCGACAGGCTCCGTCTGATTCATGACATCTCGTGACCTGATTCGCGGTTGACCGACGTCGTCGTTTTAGATATAGACGGGACTCTCGGTTAGAAATGACATACGTCGGGATACGTCGCTTCTCTACGACTGGAAAGGAATAACATACACATTGAACGCGATTATTCCGAGACGGACGGTTAGTTCGGGCAAGAAAACTACGGATCTAGACGTTACATTCGCCTGCATCGAGAGAACGAAAAGATTTATAATCGTACTCGATTTTTTAGTGTCCCCTTTTTAAAGGGATCCAAGTGTCTCTGCATCCCGAGATTAATAATACATTTTCTAACTGCGTCGTTCGATTTAAGAGGTGCTAATAACACGCGCGAAGGATAAGACTCTCGATGTTGAAATAGCGTCATCATCATAGTGTGAACTCATCTAAGATAAGCAATGATCCCATAAGTTACATCACGGAATTGATACAAAATAAACAATAGTCTTGTCAATTTGAGCGTTTGAGTCTCGATAATCGACAATAAAATATAAGATTTTCCGTATAAATCAAAGCACGTATCCATTTTTAAAGCTGCTTTACATTAATTGTTTAATTAATTTCCCACCTTTATATATCCTTACTTTTCAGCAGAGACAAAGAATCTTTTATTGCAGATTTCACGTGATCCTGAAAAAAAAAAAAAATACAGAGCTCTAAAGCACAGGTAGATACTCTAACGACGATACAGTAATAACGGCGAGAATTTCGCATGTTCTTTTGTTATTACGAAGTTTTGAAGGATCATTATTGCTTTCCTCTTCCTTTTTCTTGTCTCCGTCTCAGGCGTAATAAATTATTTTCGTCTCGGTCATCGTCTGGCGGTAGAAAGTCTGCGAAGGCGGGGGATCTCGGCCCTGAGCTTTTCAGTCCGACGTAAATTACAAGCAATAGATATATCCTAACCGGTCCGCGGCGCGGCTTATTTATGGATCGTTTATTGAATGCACCGCCCGGCCGTCGATGCACACCAAGTGCATTACACGTCGCATCAGCCGCGCGAGCTCGCGGATCGCGCGTGACGAATCGATGAGAGGTCGTGTGCGCATTCTGGCGATACACGAGACATGCGATGGCCCTCGAATTCCTCATTTTATTATCCTCTTGACATTTTTGCACGTAATATTATATGTAATAATAACGTACAACGTACAATATCATTCTCTCTCTCTCTCTGTTGTATTACCTCGCTGATCAAAACCATGCAGTCACATTTTCTTATTCCTCTTCTATTAAAATGATATGAGGAAGTACTTGTTTATTTCCTTCACTAAATTCATCAAGTAACAGCATTGTTCCGTGTCGTCGCGTTGTGTTTTCATTACACAGAGACAATTTTCTCTTAGAATTTATACCCAGAAAATCATGGTATTGGAAGAATTTTATAAGAGTTGTTCTGATTAATATTTACCACAATAAAAATATTAATATCTACCACAATAAGACATAAAATATACTCGATTAATTTTTACCATAATGAAAAATATTAATATGCACATAGTAAAATTTACTATATAAAATTCTACCAACACCATATTATCCCACGGATTAGCATGATTTTCCGGATAAATGCTAAGAGAAAATTCTCTCCGTGTACCGTTAAAGCTCTCTTGTACATGGAAAAACTTGTTTCTAACCAGCCTAAAATCAGGGAACAATCTTCCGTCTCTCCTTTTATCCGGCCACGTGTTTATCACCGAGTTTGTTTAGCCCGCTTCTCTCGGAGTGTCAACGAGACAGTCGTTTCGCGGTGGGCGCCACGCGCAGCCCCGGTTACTGTCAGGGCCCCGATTTCCGTCCAGACCACGTCGAAGCGTCGACGGAGCCGCGGCGACAGTGATTACCTGTTTATTATGCCGGCCGACGAGTGATCCGATCCCAGCGCGTGCGAGCTATTTTAAATAAGGGGTCTCTCTCGTTAAAGAACAACAAATATCCGACGCATTTGGCGCTTTTTCACGCGGGACAAATCGACCGTGGACGTTTACGACCCTGTTTAGACTTCATGAAGTTTCTCTCTCGCAAAGAGACATTAGTTACTGACTGCTTCACCTTCAATCGTGCTTTTGAAGGGAAAGTCAGCACGAGTATTCGTTACATCGTGTTTATCAATTATGATACAGATATTGTATGTTAATAATAATTATTCGCTTCTGAAGAGAATATGAGACAGTGAAGGATATTTGAGGTAGCACCTGTGTATATCTGATTAAAATCACCCTCAACTACGAACTGCTCTCCGATTGTTCCGTGTTCGAGCGGGTTACAACACGGGTTCTTATTACGCTTGTGTGATCTGTATGCATTTTGCGCGGTCCTGCATTTCTTCGGAGGATCGCGCGTCCTTCTTCCCACGAAGGGCACACCGTGAGCGCATTTAAACGTTTTTCTGCGCGATGCTCGATCGATCGAGACGCGAATTCTTTCACAGGCTGTGGACTCGCGCGGCAGCTTGATTTATATATATATATATATATATATATATATATATATATATATAGGGTGTATCGAAAGTCGGACACTTTCACCGTAATTGCAACGTATACGGGACCAAAAGAGCCGACCTGAAGAATAACTAAAGAATATCGATATTTTCAAGATTAGATATTATTAACATTTTCTGATTACAAATCATATAAATTATTAACTTCGATTTCGATGCTTTATAAATATAAACAATTAATTATATTAGATGCGATTTAAATGATCTGTTATATTAAAATACTTATGATTAAAAATAGAAAGTCGTTCGGAGAAACTGATGTCTCGTATGTATCTCTGTTATAGAAAAAATTAACATTAAATTTATTCTAGATTCTAAATCTCTGGTAAATTCCCAAACTTCGATACACCCTATATATATGTATACAACGAGCTACCGTTGATCGAAACTGCTGAACCAGTTTCGTCTTTCGTGCTAATCCACCTTCGTTGCTCCTCGTCGTTCTCTCGCGCTACCTGTTCCCTTCTGAAAGCGCGAGTTCCCTTTTTGCACGTGAAATCGGCGTTTCGCGTTGACAACCACCGTTTAAATCGTACGCCAAGGGTAGAACCAGACACATGTAGAAGCAGATACTTTGCAAACCATTTCTGCAATAATAATATAACATATAATCATCTAATTTATTATTACGTTTTGCTCAATATTATTCGATTTTTTATTAGAAACAATTCTAATGTTGCTTTGTTCCGAAATATAAATCTGTAAATTAGACAAAAAGAAAATGTTTTTTTTTTTAATTAAAAAGATTTATCGATTAACATAATAAGTAAAGAGATAAAAAAGTATGTTACATTTTGCATGAAACATAAACGAAAATATAATATAATAAATATGAAATAAAAATGAGAGAAATATAGTAAGGCAAATAATATGTAATTTATTGAATATAAATTGAAACCTTATTTAACGAAAATGGTTCTTTTAGATCGCACGAACACCTGCCGCGCATAGTAGGCCGGATAGGACAAATGCAATCGCGGCAGATGACGATGCGCATTATCGTTCGCGGTATTGCCGCGTAATTAAAATTTATTCGCGCGATATGGCTCGATATATACATACATACCTTGTGCGTTACATTATTACTTCCATGTAATACGCGACACGCACGATAACGATGCGCGTGGTTGCTCGCCGAAACGAACGCACAGGATCTCATTAAGCGAATTTACCAGCGATCGCGTTGCATTAAGCTCTTTGCGTTAGTCGAGGCCGGAGTTAGCTTAACCGCCGTCGAACGTGGCTGCATATAAATTGACAATATCACGATAGCGCGCGCACTATGTGCGCTTTAACGCCAGTGTCGAGGATGCACGCATGTATATATATTTTTAAGTACACACACGATCGGAATCTCGCGAGGACAGGCGAAACATCGAGTATTGCTTGATCATGGGATTAATTTTATTCGAAAACTCTTTATTAACACAATACATTTGAAAACATCCTTAACCCGTTGTATCTGCCTATAGAAAGACTATTTCAGTTATTGAACACCGATTCTTTCCTGAAACGTGAACAAGGTTTTGAAGAATTGTGTTCAAAGTGAGCGAAATGACTCCGAAATTGGAATCGCTTTAGTAAATTTTAAAGGACTCTCGTTTCATTGTTATTGTATATTTTTAATTCAATTTTATAAACTATTTGATACTACTTTTAGCTTCATTAATCGAAATTATTTTTATGGCCCTTATTACAAGTTTTATTCGAATAAATTGTAAAGAATGTGAAGAATCATACGAGATATCGTCTATTTAAATTTTCAGGGGCATCGCGAAAGCGGGCGAACCCAACAATTTTTTGCCCGTGTCACATACCGTACACGTGGATAACTCGATCTATACGACTCTGAGAAAGAAACAGAGGAGGCTCGCGAGGGATAATCCAGGAGTGCTAATGGCAGTGGCCAGGGGTGCGAATCAAGCCATCGCCGAATGCCAACATCAGTTTCGCAATCGGCGATGGAACTGCTCGACCAAAAATTTTCTTCGAGGGAGAAATCTCTTTGGCAAGATCGTCGATAAAGGTGAGTATAATTAATCGAGCTTAATAATATTTTGTAAATGTAATTTTGCGAAGAACTTTGAATGGCAATGAGAACTATTATTATGAAAATATTATATCCATCGATAATTATTGTCGATATAATTATTACTTAAGACGATTGAATGAAAAATTTCATCATTTTTGTCTCTCTTTCTCAGAAGTAACATATATTTAAATTTAAATCTTCATCGAAATAAATTTCGCTGAGAAATAATAAGAAATAAGTATCTTTATTTTACTCTTTAAAAAATCGAAAGTAAAAATATATGTAATAAAAAAATATACTTGTATTTCAAAAGATCGTTTATTGTATCGCAATTGTCCGCTATATAACCGGTACTCTCGATAGAGATTTATTAAAAACGAGTTTCAGCGCGATAGAAATGAGAGAGAAGAGAAAAAGAGAAAGAGCCGACTCTCTTAAGATCACGAGTGACAAATCTGTCGATTTGCTTAAGTCAACACAGACTCTCGATACGTCTCGTAACACTCGGTAGATTAAGTAATAAGGTCGTCATCTCGTCATCGCAATGCGTCATCGCAATAATCGCCGAGTGAACGATACCTTTGAGATAAGCTGTGGATTCAGCGGATGTAGAGCCAATTTAAGACATGATTGGTCTCTTATCTGGTCTAAAAGTCTATTACTTCAAATGGATCATATTTCTCCTAATTCTTTGTATTGGTTATCTCGATTATATACATAATCATACGATCAAAATATCTTGCGAATTTATTGATTGAATTTATGAATTTGTATGAAATACGATTTTAATGTGTAACATATAAATTAAAATGCAGATGGATAAAACATAATTTTAATATGGATCTTAGTTAAATATATATTTTTTAAATAAAGTAAAAGAAATATCGTTTGCTCTATTCTTTACTTGATACAACAGTATGCGTATTGTTTAAAGAAGTGATAAAATTTTACAGATGATCAATAAGTATTTCATTGAGCTTTAATACACAAAAAACACAAATTATTCTTCTGTTTTATGTCTCACTAATTAGCACTAAGATTTCACTGAAAAATCAGTAATAAAAACTTTTTTAATATAGGAACGATATATTTAATTCGACCCAAATTAGCCAAGAAATTTTTATTTTATTTCCACAACGTTTCGACCATCTGTTTTACTAAGTGGGTAATAAAAACTTTTTTATTTCCTTTGGATTACTATTTTTTGAAAGAAGCACCCTCATATTTGAAATCCACATAACTAGAATAACAACTAACTAATTTTTTTTAGTAAAAGATTACATTAATTTATTCTATGCATAAATAAAATCATCACAGATCATATATAGTTTCTTTTTCATTTTTTAAACGTTTCAAATCATCAGAGATTATATATAGTTTCTTTTTTTTTCATTTTTTAAACATTTTGAATGCAATAAATAAAATGTTCTTAACCGTAATATAATAGACAATTACGCACATTCGCGTATAAATATTATTCTATTATCACTGAGGATCGCGATCAGACACCCGCGGTAAATAAAATCATCAGAGATCATATATAGTTTCTTTTTCATTTTTTCAACATTTCAAATCATCAGAGATTATATATAGTTTGTTGTTATTTTTTAAACATTTTAAATGCAATAAATAAAATGTTCTTAACCGTAATATAATAGACAATTACGCGTAAAGTATAAATATTATTCTATTATCACTGCGAAGATCGCGATCAGACACCCACGGTAAATAAAATCATCAGAGATCATATATAGTTTCTTTTTCATTTTTTCAACATTTCAAATCATCAGAGATCATATATAGTTTCTTTTTCATTTTTTCAACATTTCAAATCATCAGGGATTATATATAGTTTTTTTTTAATTTTTTAAACATTTTGAATGCAATAAATAAAATATTCTTAACCGTAATATAATAGACAATTACGCGTAAAGTATAAATATTATTCTATTATCACTGAAGATCGCGATCAGACACCCGCGGTGCTTTCGACAAGGCGCATTAACACCTCGTTCGAGTGCGAACGATCGCGTAGATCGAGTGCATGGGGCGCGAAGGCGAAGGCTCGAAGTCGTCGTGGGGTTAGAAGGGCGAAGGTACACGGTACGATGAGATGCGAACGGAGTAGGGGGTCTTCGAGGGCGTGCCCTACGTCCGAGGGTCCCGGGCACGTGCCCTCACCGACCAGATGTATGTTTTGCAACCTGATAATGGACCTTCTCGTACCAGTTCTGGCTCCCCTGCGGCTCTTTTAGATCTTGTCGAGGCGATTGTAAGCCGAGCTTTTTCGCTCGAGCCGCTCCCACCCCATTATGTCGAATGTCCCCATATGGCCACTTAGTAAAACTAAAAGAAGTACATGGGAAGGGGTAGGAGAAAGGGTAGAGAGCGAGAGATTTTTGCGTGTTACTTTTCACGAGCGCTCTTCGAGATACGTTTCGTTGCAATGTTGCAACACGAGATGATCGTAACTAACGATTGGCGGTTATTGTATAACGATGTGTGTACGTCTGCGATTTACACTGGTATCTATTTACAGATTGCGAGATTCGTATTCTTATTATAATACACTCGGTCTGTTTGTCTCTTATTTCCGATTCACCCTCCTGGTTATATTCACTCGATATCGCTACGGTGCATTTGTCGTATGAGAATATAATATTTGAAAAATATTGTATTGTTAAAAATTCAGTTGCTGTAAGCTTCCTAACTGCCTTTGTGGAATATTACGAAATGAATATTTATGCAATTTGCGTTCATTAAATCTTTATCCGGTTGAGAGGTTTCTACGAAAGCGCGTATAATATATTCAGTTTCGACGTGCATAATTCAATGCAATATGTACCGATTTTTGCATATACCTATATATACGCATCGGAGATATCATGCATCCAAATTACGCGTACTTCTCGTGCGTTATTACTATACTTTGCGGCCATTAAGGAACAGCGAGAGAGACAGAGACGCGGCGCAATAGCCATTAGAAATTCCGTAAATTGAACGGCTGTCACGGTAACGTACGGCATTTATATGACACCTGTAAGCGAGAGCGCCATGTGGTATCCATAACGCTTGACGTGTTAATCAAGCCCCGAGAAAGCCACTGACGGATAATAACGCCGTGGATAGGGATGGGAGAATCCGTTTTTTTTTTTTTACATTCTATGCTACATTGTTCTGTCAAGATAGCGATAGAAAATGATTACAAATGAATCGTGAGATAGAACACATCGCGCGTTCGGAGATTTGCAATATCATTCCTGTCAAAATTAAATGAACTGTGACATATTACAGACTATTTAATGAATATATAAAATTCATGAGAGTAACCAGAAATTCCGGAATTCTTGTTTGCAACGGTTGTATCGATATATCTTTGCAGACCCACAATTAAAACGTGTGCTAAGTGATTGATTATTTTTTCGGACGTAAAACTAACAGGACTCGACAATTGTTTCCGAAATAAATGATCGCGATATAGATTGAAGTTTATACACAAACCCTGTCCACTCCTCGTTTCCCGTAATAAGCTGCAGGATCGCTCGTAGCTTCCACGAGAGACCGGGCCCTCGACCTTTCACCTCTCGTCTTCATCGCTTCGTGTGAGCGCGGACCAGTTTCTTCCGCTCTTCTCGCTGCCGCTCTCATATCTCCTTTGTCCTCGTATAGATCCTCGAGATTTGATCTTTGCCGAGCTCTCGACACAGGGGAAAACGTAGATCACTATCAACGAGCAATAATGCGCTCTCGTACTTGTCGCAAGAATAAAGAGAGAGAGAGATCAGAGGGAGATCCGGAAAGAGAACTCGCAGTCGAACACCGGCTTAAACGGTCGTTTCCGGATTAGCACAGTGCTCTAATGTAGCACGTCAAACTGTCGGCAGTCACTGCCGGAAATATAAATCGTGAAAGTGCGGAATAGAGATACATAAATTTTCGAGCTGTAGAAAGAACACGGGTTTCGCAATCTGTTGGTTCCGCATTCACGTCACCGGCTGCGTCGTGACGTTTTAACGCAGATATCCGTTTGTGTTAGAAATAGGAAATCACGTAGAGATTCTCGTTTCACAAGATTTTTATCGCATTTACGAAATGTCTATACGGAAAAAAAATATTAGTCACTATATAATTTAGTTATCATGTGTCTAACTTTAGTTATAATAATTAATACTTTTATTTATAATTTAAGAAGGAGAATTTTTTTCCCGTTAAACTATAACTTAAACATATTAATTACCATAGCTAAAATATTTAGGCATGACGATTAAATTTCAGCTGTAATATATAGAAGCACCTAAAATTTAACTATGGTGACTAATATTTTTTTTCATATATATATATATATATATATGCATATTTCGAGTCGCTAATTTAAAAGTATCAAGTACTTGCCTCGTCTGGAGAATAAAAGATATTCTGCATATATTAAATTAATTTCTTCACGTTTCTGCACGGACATAATATTAAGTATAGGACACGTTATCAATCTACAGACTGGAATGTCTAATAACAACTTTGTGTGTGTCCAAGAATATAAGATATCTTTAATATATTCATATATATATCTGCGTGGAATGCATAATTAGCGATTCGATAAAAATCGTGGATGTTAATTAATATGTATGATCCGAAACTTTTGTGTCGACACAACTAACACGAATCAGACATACGACGTTTAAATTTAAATGTCGCACGTAATCATTGTGCTTATGTAAATGAGAGTCGACAGGATTAGTATATCGAGTCGAGTGTCTCGTGGAGATACTTTCCCGATTCGGAGACTCGACGGTTACTTTTGGTTGCGTTTGTACTCGATATTATAGCTGGTAGTGAGTGCGTTCGCGGCCTGTAATCATTTCGCCGCCAAGAGCCACCTACCGCATTGGTACCCTCGCCTTCCATCCTCCGTTCTCCATCTCGTTTCTTCGCTTCTCTCGCCGTTCTCTGCTCCTTTCTCGCCTGTACTTCTCTCTCGTGCCTCCTCGCATCTTCCT